CCCAGACTACCAGGCTTCTGAGTATTAATGGGCTGTATCCACCCCTTCTGGGTCCTGCCTCCTCAGGGATTGGTGGAAACTCCCCTAAATATTCAAGCTGCAGCCCTGTCCCTCCACCCTCTCTCTCTATATACTGTATATATATATATATATATATATATATATCTCACACTATTGTGGGAATGCCTCATGTTGTATGTTAACATGTACTGTAGTAGCACACCACAAATTACTTTATACCACACCTGCCTCTTTTGTTTTCAGCACCGCCCCAAAGCACAGATGGTTCACTTCTGATAGCAATTCCGGCAGACCGCCAGTTGATCACAAAACAGGGTTTTAGATCATCTTGGTGTCAATTCACTTCCAAGCCTTTAACATGAATACTGTAGCTGTAGATGTTGAAGGCTGGGAAGTGAATTGACACGATGATCGAAAACCCTGTTTTGTTATCGATTTGTGGTCTGCCAGAATTGCTATCAGAAGTGAGGTCTATTGTTGTCTCTTAGTGGATCTTTTATCTGACCTACCAAACTTACATATTGTGCACATGGTTGGGGTTTGGAATTTTAGGGGACCCCCGTAGGGGGTCATCATATTTTTTTATCTAGGATATGATGCATGAGCATTAGCAAGAGCTACACTGTTGTGATAAGAGAGGGGACAGGTGGGTAATTAATACATCTGACTGTGTGGTCTGAATGAGAGTATACTCATGGGTCCATAGGCCAAAGTCCAAGCTTTCCAAAATGCCTAGGGGCCTCTACAGAGTTTAATCTGGCACTGCCTACAGGCATACCTGTCCTTAATTTACCCACTGTTATAAATGCTCCATCTTGAGGACTCTGCAATTTAAGAGTTAGAACCACACTTTACAGAGGAGCCTTGGTGGCTTCCACATATATTTGCAAATGTGTGCAACAAAAATCTCTGTTTTTAACGTAAATTGTTAAAATTTGGGTTTCTTTTTTTTTTTTTTTTCTTCAACTCCCACTCCCATCATGCAGTTTAGTGGCAAGCAATGGTAGAAGTGAATCTTGAGAACAGAGAGGTGGGACCTGTGTTTTGTAATGTACTCCAAGAAAACAATTTTACAGATAAGACAAAATCCATATTTTCTAACTGGTGCATTAGAAGACATAGGATGAAGTATTCTGGAAGACCCCCTAAAAGCAGTCCAATAGCAAACACTTAGCTAACAGAGCCTCAACGAACAAACCAACATGTTACCTGGGGAAGATCAAGGTAACCTACTACATTATCTGAAGAACCCTACAACCAAAGCTGGCAGTAGCTGAGGCCTAATTGTCAACCTGGTAAAACTCAACAAAATGTTTGAACAGAAGACTAGGTGGCAATCCTGAAAATCTGAGTAACTTCAAGTAAATTCTTAGCTTTCAAGAGCACAGGGTTAACTGAATCAAGTATGTTCCTATCCCTTTAGGACCTGGGCTTCAATGGCCAAGCCATTAAAGCTAGTGACCAGGCATGGGTGTAAATTGATCCTTGGGACAGAAGATGTCTCCTAGATTGTAAGCTCGAAAGAGCAGGGCCTTCCAACCCCTCGTGTATTGTTTCTGTCTTGTCTCATGTTCTGTCCCACTTGCTATTGTACAGCGCTGAGCAAACCCTTTGGCGCTATATAAATACTGTATAATAATATTAATAATAATGTGGATGATATGGGAATGCTCACAAAGAATTTATCACAAGCCAGATGAGGTCCGAGTACCACCGCCACCTGAGGCAGTTTGGTGCAAGGAGAATTACATAGATGCCTTCTATCTCAATCCTGCAAAGCACATAAGGAAGGAGCTTTATTTTAAGTATGGCATAAATCATAGATGCTATGGTGTCACCAGAGTCTATTGTGTGTCAGAGGATCCCTGGAATGGGAAATAAACCTGTACAGTTTCTTGGTAAACCTAAAAGCCAGAAGGTTCCATGTTCCCACCTTTGACATAGTTCTAGAAACACCGTGGGGTGAAGAGGCCATCCTCTAAAGTCCAGGCATTGATGACTGAGAAAGTTCCCTTTCCAAAAGTGGAGGGTTACCTGGCTACAAGCATGGGTGTAGAGAGTCTGGAGTTTTTCCTGTGGAAGGAAGACCTTGGACTGAGCTACATCCAGGACCAGGCCCAAATACTCCAAGTAATGAGATGGTTCCAGTGCTGATTTTTGGTGATTTTGGATCCATCCAAACCTCTGTAGAATTTGGAAGTTGGTTTAAGGAGCCTGCACTTGCTGTTCTTGGAGAAAACATTAGTCCAGGTATCCCACAATGGTTATACCCTAAGAGCGAGGCAGAGCAAGAACAGTGGACAGCACCTTAATAAGGGTGCATTGGACAGGCCAGAGGTAGTAACACAAATTGGTAATGTCTTGTGCCCACAGCAAACTGCAGGTAGCACTGATGAACAAAAAGATGAAGATCTTTGAGGTCTACAGAGGCCAGGAAATTTCTGAGCTAGAGGGAAGCAATGACTGACTAGGTAGATTCTATACAACCTTTGTTTTTAGTTTTTATTGAATAGTTATGTAATATAACAGATATTTTCAAGGTTTACATATAGTTCAAGAAGAAAAAAATCTGACATATCTTGTTATAAGTTGAAATTCAGTGAATTCTAAACATGTTTCAATAGAATATCAAAAATATGAGAAAAACAGCACATATCTGACAAAAGGAAAAATGTCCCAAAAGAGCATAAATAGGGATAGAAGTGGGGAAAGAAAGAGAAGACCCAAAGGGGGAGAGGAGACTTATAGAAAAGTTCATCTGAGGAAGGGATGTAAAAGTAGAGGGGTAAGACAACCGGGTCCATGGTCACAAGTCTGTTAAAGGCCTAGGAGGCTAGCATTGTTTCTTGTAGGAAGACAATGTGTGGACCAAAGATATCAATCATGTACTTTTCCATGTCAGATAGCCTTGCCTCTATTTTTTCACTGAGCATAATCCGAAGAAATCTGATCAGAATTTTGATCATATCTAGGGGCAGATGTCTCCTTTCACTTTGGGGGCATTGAACAGGTTGGAAAAAAACTCAGAAAAATGTCACTTTTTCATTAGTGGAGCAAGCTGTACCTCTAATGGTTATCATCCTTGGTCTAGATCGTTGCTGTGCACTGTAAAATTCATAGTTTCTTTAAAACTGGAAAATAAATCCAGCATACATCCAGCGCTGCAGCTGAGAGCATAAGCTATCATACAGTGTTTACACTTTTATTGCACTCCCCTTGTCTATTCACAAAATGCCTTGTATTCTGTTCGCAGAATACAAGACATTCTGTAAATGGACAAGCAGAGAGCCTGTCATATAACAGCCTCTCCTCTCCCCTTGTCCATTCACAGAATGCTTTGTATTCTGTGAACAGAGCACAAGGTATTTTATGAATGGACAAAGGAGGAGAAAAGGGTGGGCAAACAAAAAAATCTCTTTGCTGTATGAGAGCTACAGCCCCATACCTGTTAATATTATTTTTACCATACACAATCCAGACCTAGGATAAATCATCATTAAAGATAACTTGCTTGACTTGTGGTATGTACAAAAACACTTTCCATGAGATCTAAAAGTGCCATTAAACCCATATTACCAATTACACATAGATCATCATAAAATACAATAGTTTAATCAAGCATATATAGCACACATGAAAATAAGTACCGAAAAAATTTTTTTTGTCTGTTTCATATACCAGGGTCACATGACATCTGTTACTTGCTCTATGCTGCACTGTGCAATATGGGGAGGAGCAAGGAAGAATCTTCTGATGAAGCTACATGTGTCACTCCCACAAATGTAATTTGATTTCCTGTGCTTGGACAGAGCTGATTGGCTAGAAGGGAAGACACCCCATCAATCATCTCTGCTAGAACTGCCTACAAGGAGACACAAAAATCATGTGGGGCGGAGAGGAGGGGAAAAGGGAGGACGTCATTCAGTGGGTTGGAGCCACCACCCAAGTGAAGAAAGAGTCACGTGAAGAGGCCTCCTGGGGTAAAATAATAAGAAGTGAACCACTTCCTCTAAGTATATTTGCTGAGAGTGGCACTGCAGCAGCCACAGAACCAGGTCATTTTACAATAAGGAAGCAATGAAAATGGCAAAATCAACCAGGTATTTATGAGTCTGGACACCTTGGATGAAAGAAAACTTCTATAATCCGGTACAGAACAGGCTTTAATGACACTTGACACAATTCTTTGGCAAACTCCTGCAAAATTGTGAATTGATGTTACCGTAGTAACACAATGAAAACCTGTATTCAGATAATACAGGGCCCAGTATTTCAAAACTGGAAGAAGTAGGTGAAAATTGTAGTCAGATTTCATCTCTCATTTGAAACTAAGAACAGTTCACTACGGTGCAGGACTTCACTTGTTTGTGCCCAGTTTTCATAAATGAGCCCTACAATACTGTGCATAACAACATCCAATAATGTATAGAATAGGAGTATATGGGTATAGTTAATGCCTATTTTCTCCATAAGAATGGCCCAATAAGTGCACATATTGGAAAGTTAGAATCAGTTAGAGACAGTTTGTATAAAGTTGATAAAGAGTAGGATCTATATCGCTACCCATTCATAGTGCCTGGATTTAATTTTTACATGAATCCAAATATATTTGTCAGAATACACTTCTGGAGCTAATACATATAGGCTTGCGCTGGCCATACATGGACTGATTGCCCTACAAATCATGGTGACATTAAAACTTTATGGTTCTTGAATTCTTTGCAACTATAATGAAACAAGATATAAATACCAGTAATTGTGTTACATTCAAAAGATGTAGCTGTAAACTCTACAAAGAGTTATAAGTGGCTTAATACTAAAGTTAATTCTATATAATGCTTTACACTTCCTAACTGTTCTTGTGTGAATGTGGTAAAAGTGTTCTTGCACTATAATATTCAGCAGCTTTGTTTTTGAAATACAAAGAGTGACAAGATACCAAAAACCGTTTTGGCTCTGCATATTCTCACAGCTTCTTACTATACAGCTGTTCCACGGTCAAGCTCATTGATAAGAGCAGAGTGAACTCTGAAGATCTCCTGCCTTGTTGGAGACTGGTCTATAGATGATTTCTCACTTGTCTTCTCCTTGCCGTCTACTCCACAGTACCTAAAATCTCAGAGCACAGTAAGGAATACCAGTTATTTTTTCACTCATTGTCTTTTCATTTAGGTCATCAAGAATTATTTTCACCTTAAAGTGGTTGCAAACCTCTTGAATGAAAAATGAACAAAGCATTTCATTCTATAGTATGTACTTGCCTCACTCCAAAGCACTTAATTTGATTTTGTCTACTATCTCCTTCCTCTGCTATCTGCAAGAGACACATCTGATAGGTTATGCTGACTCCAAGGATTGCAATGGAAAAGGGAATACAGCTTCAGCACACAGCCTGTGATTGACAGCCTCAGTTGTGCATATTTCCCTTTGAGACTGTGTAGAGGGGGTGTGTCCATTCCCTCAGTTCAGGTCTCAGATTACACTCAGTTCTCTGATCAATGCTGTGCAGTGTGTGACATCAAATGCCTGCCTTCTGAAAATCAGAAATGCTGTGTAAACTGTACACTTTGAATTGCTGTGGATAAGAGATGGCTACAGATAAACAGCTACAACGTATGTAGGAGGATTTGTATCATCTCTGTGTATCACCTGTGGCTAATCACTTCAGTGGGTATATGTAAGGGTTTACAGCCACTTTAAGGCTCATGTCACACTGGTCATTCTGTTGTTGGCAACAAGTTTCCAGTAACAGAATTGCTTGAGAGGGCAAAAAAAAACCTGTTTCAGTCATTTCCTCAATGACTAAACTACTACATAATTTGACCAGCTACTTTCCCCAGGGAAGAAGTAACACTGTATAAGTGAGTGAGTTGAGTGAGTTGTTTTTTTCTTACCTTCTCTAGTGACCTTGTTGCTTGTTTTTGCTGGTTCAGCACTGGGCCAGTCAGCATTATGACATGGGGAATCAATAGTCCTGCGTAAGCTACTATTCCAATGACTCATAGCTTACACATGTCTTTACTTTCGCTCCTGGCAACTGACTGGAGCAGCATGGGAGCAAATATAAGATAAGTATGTGCTGTAAAGTGATGTATTAAATTGAACCTTTTGCTTTTTCATGTATGGGCAAACCACAGGTTCACCAAAGGTTTATGCAAGGAGCAAGGAGTAAACTGCAAGCTAAAAATGGTAGACCTAGAAGAGCAAAGTGATGTAGATATAAGTAGCAGATCTGTGAATGAATATTACCAGTACTGTTTGAATGATGCATATCTGCTAACATGTAGCTTTTTAAAACAAATCACCACCTAAGCATATTACTTCATTTTGATAGATTGGGGGCCATTATCCACCCCTGGGGGTGCAGGGAGGACATCTTCCTACCAGAATGTCTGAGATCTTTGACAGTTTTAAGATGAACAATCTTGATTCTCAATATTTTTTGTTTGTTTGGCCTTCAAGGGTGGAGGTGGATAACTTTTTCTGGGATATTACATGGGTTTTTTGTGCTGTGTATTTTAATATAGTTGATTCTCAATATATTTCTATGAAAAATCCAGTATCAGGCAATAGACACCAGTGCGCCCCCTCCCTAGTGAAATCTCAGTAGAGCTATACTGTGAATCCACTCTAGCAACTGATACTATAAGTTAAGTTTAAAGATACCAAAGGTCCACCATGGCTGTACAGGTGATGGAGGAATTAGGTTTCCATATATGATGACAAAGACTTTAATGACCTAGCAGGGGATAAAACTAATGGAATCCACCATCTCCTCAATAATTCACTTTGAGTGGAGATCTGATACAAATTTAATCATAGGAGTGTCTTGACAATTCTTTAAAAGATCAGATACAGCCACACAAAAATCAGGCCAAATTCTTAGTCTACTGATCTATATGATATTTTAGGCTGTTGTTTTGTCCTTGTTTTCTTGGAATACAAAACATATTATAGAAAGTTATATATATCAAGCCTACAGCGTATAGGACTCTTTCAGAAAATTGGCTTTCTTTTTCAACTCACTTCTTTTTAAACAGCTTACGGAAGGAGCTTCGGAAACCTCCCTTTTGATCTGACCTGGGATGGTGATCACTGAATGATGTTTGCTCAGTTTCATCTTTTTGATAGAATTTTGCATTTCCGTCCATATGAATTTCCTATGACAAGAGCAATAATAATATTACATAAAATAAAGCATCTCTCATTTTACAAGCTTTTCACCTGACTTTATATAGCAGTTAAACATGCGGGCACAATCTACCCTTCAGACGATCCTATAAAAATGGTTGTGCATGTTTAGGCCTATGGAAGAGAAAATGGGTTACACTGGCTAGACACTCCATGCACCAGTTTAGGAGGATAACATTAGTAACTAGACAGAAAAATCCCAGAAAATTGATGCTTCCTCCAATAAAGTTTACCTAGTGTGTCTAGCTGAAATTTACTGGATGAAGGAGTAGGGTGTCTGGCAGCGTAAAGGGCTCCTTATAGAAATATGGTTGTTGTCCAAATCCCCAATAACCAGCTAGATAGACACATTTTAGATTATGCATGCATGTCCTTAGATTTTTCAGCAATTACAGCTTAAGTGCACTCTGAACATCAGTTTATATATGATATGGGGTCTATTTATTAGGCATTCACCGAGAATTTTGCCCAGGTAAACCTTTACTAGAATTCATCCAAGTGAGACTCAATGGCATTCACCTGGCATTTCACTAACAAATTCACCCTATTTTTCACAGGATAAATGTGCACGAGGCAAATGCAGCAGCTAGGAAACAGCTGTTCAATCTCATATATTCAATAAATGCAAAGGCATTTTGTAACCTGCAGGCATATGTGCCCAAAGAAGGTCTCCATGGTGTTGAAACTATTTATACAGTTTTAACACCAGAAGAGCAAAATTTTTTTTTACATTTTATTTTTACAAAAAAACAGCATGTTTCCCCCATCCCACGGCTAACCAGCTTGGCATGCCAAGATATACAGTATTCCCATAGAAAAGGAAAGGTGAGTGAGCTGATACCAGCTTGCATGTCCTATGCTGATAAGTGCTTATGTATCACACTACCTGACACCCATTGGAGTAAACTAGATGGTCGTTCCCTTCTTCACAAACTGGTTTCCTTGGACCATTAACAAATTCTTGGTATGTGTGGTATGAAGTTGTAAGTAAACAAACACATCAGACAGGTTTTAAAATCATTTATTCACATTTTTACTGAAATGTTCAGGTTCCAGGTTCCCAATGTGTCTTATCAAGTGCTGAATGAAGAACAACAGGTCTTCAGTTGTCACTTCAGAAACTCATGTTTGAACACTGAGGGAGTTCCCGTCACTGGCATGACTTTAAATGCACATGCACAGGAAGTTCTGGGGAAGATATTTCCAGTGACTTCATTGCCCATATTTGGTATTAGTCCAAATATGGGCAGTGACATCATGAAGAATCCCTGCTTTCCCGGAGTTCCCTGGGCACTTAAATTGATGGTAGTGGTAGGAACTCCCTCAGTGATCATGGAGGGAAAGTAGGTGGCCCACAAGCACCCCTTGTCACCCTCCATCTCCAGGCAAAGACCATTAGCATAACATACTGGTGGTTTGAGAGGAAGTTTTGGGGGGAACCCCTTTTAAAGCCCTCCTAAATCCTGAAGGACAAGGATGCTGGTGTCAGCATAGCAGGGGGGTTGCATGTTCTCTCTCTTGGTATGGCATGGGCATATATATCTGGTGTTCCAGGTTCTGGGAAGGATAAAGTTCTAGGGAGAATGTTTAATTTAAGAGCTTTTCCTACTGAAGAACAGATATTACCAAATGTCAGGAAATGCTATTTTCTCAGGGCAAATTCTTGGTGAATTCCCACTCATTTTTGGTGAATGTGAATCAGAGTTTGGGACAAATGTTGGCTGCATTGCCCATCAACTTATATATATACCCTAATATCTTGCAATATTATAGATTATATAACATTATATATAATAAATTACTAACAACATTCCATCTTTGCAGCAGTTTTGCTTAAGTAACCCCCTGTCTTAGAGAATAGAATAGTATGCTAGTAGCAGGGGCGGACTGACCATTTGGAAACTTGGGCGCTGCCTGAGGGCTGGGGGTCAGTAGGGGGCCCCATGAGATGCCCCTGGTACCTTTTTCATAGGCTTTTTTGAGTTTGGGCATGGACACAGGGGCCCCATGATCCCCTATTGCCCGGGGACCCCATGAAGTGTCAGTCCGCCCCTGGCTAGTAGTTAGCAAAGGTAGCTCAGTGAACTATATACTTTCTTTTTAATACACAAAAAGACATTTAAAATAAACACTGGTTATGAATATACATTAATCTGTAAAATGTATTTGCATTTTATAGCAGTTAATTTCTTACTTCTTACCTCCAACAGGGATCTACTATCTACATGAGGCCTCTGTGGATTATAAAAGTGCCTGTGGGGAATGCGGGATGAGGCTAATAGAGGATGGTACTGGGTGCTTCGATCCTGCTTGAACTGCATCCTATTAGCATTGGTGCTTCTAGTGCTGTATAATCTGGTAGCCACTGCCTCTTGATTGCGAGGGAACTCCTTAAGAGATCGACTCAAAGGTTTGTTTTTCACATGGATTCCTTCATGGCGATAGCTACTGTTACTCACAGGGGAAATGCAACTTCTTGCCAAGGGCTGCTGAGAACGATCAGTTTTGTTGGATTCAAGTGTGAAGTTGATAGGCTTCAAAAAGCAAATATCAAGGCTAGATTCAGATGAACCTGCAGAACATGACTCAAAGAGAGGTCTGTTATGAAATGTCTCTTCTTCATATGGGGTGGACACACCTATAATTTCATCACCATACTCAAATTGTTCATAATTGGTTGTAAAAGTACCATCAGGTAGAATGTTTGATGAAGTTCTTATGGATCTTTCTATATCAAGCACTGAAGGATTACTTTCATATTCCATCTCTGGAATAGATTGTAGTGGGGCCACTAGTGAACTAACTTCTTGGTCTGTCCTGCTGAAGGAAGCTGGCGCTGATAAGTTCTCTGACCTGTCATGTTTTTTTTCCTTCAGCTTCCCATTCTGATGTCTTTAATGGCTGTATAGCTTCTATGGGAGTTTGTCTGCTCTTTTTCACATGTGGAACCAGATGCCTTGAAAATAATTTACAGAAAAGAACATGGTTAATCCATAAACTGCATTTATGTTTACTTCCAGAGACTATTTAATATGCAACTGCAGCCAAAACTTGTTTTTCTGGCTTTAGATAGAATAGAGCAGATTTCTGCTCACTTTCTGTCCTGGAGATAGTGTTATAACTATACAGCAAAAGGAAATTACCAAACTCTTTAACGGTAATATGGAATGGAAGTTCAATCTTTTCCTCCCTAAGCAACACTAAAACAAAATTAAGTTTTTCCTGGAGTTGCACTTTAAAGGAATACAGTCAATTCCTTAGGGACTGCATACAAGTTTACAAGTGTTTGGCAAGCTGGGAAAAAAAATATTGGGCAGGCCAACAAACTTTATTTAGCAGTTAAATCTAGCTATATACACTTTTTGGGTGACATACAAGTTAAAGGAAAGGCATAGCTAGCATTGCTAGTATGAAGTTGGAGGATCAATTTTTGGTAAATATGAGTTTTAAAAAAGCATACACTTTTGTGGACTCCTGCAGAAAGATATCCTTGCCTGCTAGGTCTGACATTACAAACAAGTAAAATTTTTCTATTAACCAAAATGACCCAACTTGATTATGTGACTAATATAGGACCTCAAATTATGCAAAATTTGCCCAAATAGCTTTCTCTAGGCTGGATTCCCCTGCAATTGAGGGTCTTGTCTACCATGTCTCATGAAAGTTTTGTTTATCCAAAATGTATTACTAGCTGTTAAGAAATACTATATAGGATGACATTGTGGACATTTTAAACTTTCATACATATTTAACACAAGGCTAGACATTTTGCTGCACAGTGTTCTTTTATCTGGGGGCTAATTGTTTGGTCACTTACATTTTTCAATGTACAATGTCAGTGTATCATTTTGTGTGACATGTCAAAAATATAGTTTACAACTGTGTATATATTTCATTTTGACATCCTGTAGTAGTCCCATAATCAGGTTGGGTCTTGTGGTTTAATGATCACATAGTTGTTTCTTATAGTCACTTTTAATGTTTGAATGACTACTTATATTACATTACAGATAACAGCAGAAGTAATACTCCTGCTAGATAAAAGTAGCCAGTTGGTAATTCAGTTGACCTGCATCTACCTTTAACCTAAAAAAAAGCAATTTGCCCTATATTGAGACTTTAAAACAAACTAAATCATAGTTTATTTTGTTTTGATTATACAGAAGTATTTTGTTGGCTTTATCAAGTTGTATAGTGTATTCAAGGGGGCTTTTAAAATTATATGTGGCCAAAAAGGATATGGAGTTATGTGTACCAATTATGGATGTGACCAACTTGTGATTGTATCAGTTTGCTGAAAACAAAAATTACCATTATAATTAACGATTGTTTGTTTTTTGTTTTTTTTTTAGAAAAAGAAGGTGAAAAAAGGGGGGGAGCCGAGGGAATCCAGGGAGTCCACTGGATTTCAAGAAAAAATACTGAGGTGCATCTAGAACAATCTGGACAGATGCTACCTAAAGCATATAATATAAAAACCAAATAAAAAAGAAACTAGGTTACACACCTAAAAGGCTAACCTCAAAAATGTATTTATTTGTAGAAAACATACAAATTAAAAAACACATTGCTTCAGGGACCTGGTGATCACTCCCAATCTTGAAAGCCACCCACCCATGGAATGGAGGAAACCTCCCACAATAGACACTCACAGATGGTACCAAAGATGTCCCCTGTGTGCACACAGCATCTGCACCTCCCCAAAATGGAGACCCAGCTAACCCCCCACCACCCCCAGAAACCTGAATCACTCCTCAACAATTCATGGCCATGTGGATCTTTCTGTTGGAGTCTATAGCTCCTAAGGGACTCAATAGTGAGTTTTCTTTACCTGTTTCTTATGAGCCAGTTGGGCTCTGTTAGACTCCTCTCACTAGATCTTGGAATTTAAAGTGAGGTATTGGGCCATCATACATGGTCCGATTGTTAGCTCATTGGACCCTATGCCCTATAATATTAGGGTCTTGTCGGTATTGTCAGTTAGGTATTACCTAGGATATAGTTTCTCATACATATACCTTTGTTCCCTACCCCCTTGTCCTTCAGTCAAATAGATTTGGGAGGTTTTATGGTCATTATGGCTAGCCCTCCAGAGATGATACAAATATATATATAGCCATTGGGCTGAATTGATGCGGATGATGCAGGCAGCCTCTTTGCCTCCTCCCCCTCCCCCCTTTATGGTATTGTGGTGTGAACTATATGCTTTCTTTCCTCCCCTCCCCGATCCAATTGTGGTCCGTTCATGCCTGGCCATCAGCCTGTTTCTACTAGTGCAGGCTGTTTGTGGAACATCTGATTTAGTGCCTATTCATGGTCTACAAGTGGAAATATTCTGTTGGGTATTATTACAGACATATCCTTTTCCTTTGGATTGGCCAAACCAAACTACACAATTTTCTAGTGCACTAGTTACCTGATTGTTCAACTGGACTTTAAAGGCTATAGCCCTTCATACTCAATAATTTCTTTCAGGTTCTCACTGGTTCATTATATTTCTCATGTATTGAGGTTGATTTTTACTGCAGGTTATCATTATCCATAGGAATACTACATTGTCCTGTTATAGGTGTGTTGGGGGATGGGATATTCGATTTAGCTGGGTCTGGGGGGTAGAGTTGGTTTTATACCTCAGCTTCCTTCTTTCTCTTCTGAGGGAGGAGGGTGGTTGGTTGGGTGGGTCTGGGGGGGCTTACTGTGGGAGGTGCATTGGGGTACCTTGGGAGGTGCTCTCGAGGGGTTTTTTTTGGTTTTGTTTTGGTTGGGGGTTGGAGGAATTGTTGAGGGGTGTGGTTGGGGTTTCTGGGGGTGGTGGGGGGTGAGCTGGGTCCCCATTTTGGGAAGGTGCAAGTGCCGTGTGCACACAAGGGACATCTTTGGTACCATCTTTGAGTGTCTATTGTGGGAGGTTTACTCCATGCCGGGGGTGAGTGGCTTTCAAGATTGGGAGTGATCACCAGGTCCCCAATGCAATGTGTTTTTACTTTGTATGTTTATTCGTATAAATACGTTAGCCTTTTAGGTGTGTAGCCTATTTTCTTTGTTTTTTTATGTTTTTTTTTCCACAGCAAATACTACTCATAACTTGTTTTAACTAATATTTATATTTTTATTAGGTTTGCAATTTAATATGTATTTATAGGTGACGTCTTTTGTGTAACTAATAGGAAGCATTTGTGTCCATTCATGCATTTATTAAATCACATGAACACAATTTCTTTATTTTAAAAAAGGAGCATTTGAAAAAAACTCTTCAATAAGCTTCCTGGAATAAAAGGTTGTATTTCTTCAGGCAGCTTACATGACTGGTGTGTTGGAGTCTGGTGCCGATGCGTAAGTCTGTAGTGTCTCATTAGACTGGGCTGGATTTTCCTTAACATTTGTAGAATTAGTCAAACCATGAGGAACATCTTGGCTTGTGGCAGTGCAGTGAGATGCCAGACCTTTGTACAGTTTAATCAATGAGGACCTATAAAAGCAGAGCAGCATTTAGTAAAATGTTGCAGGCAGCAATATTTCTAGCAAGGAATAGAAAAACTCTGGCTAAGATCTGTAACTACAAAGCACTGGAGTCCTTGATTTGATGTACAGGTGTCTTCATACCTATTTATCCTCCATGTGCTTTGATTTACTCTTAACTTTATATTTACTGTATAAAAGCTTCGTTGTGAGGACAGACTCCAGGTGTGAAACTGACAGGTATAGCTGCTGCTTCTATTTACTACTAGGTTATCTAGGCCCATCTTGTGGCTATACCCCTACATGTACAGCATGACCCTCAGATCCTGGATAATCACCCCAAGAGACCCAGCTCCTTGCAGTGTCATATTCAGATCAGTGTTTGTGCAAGAACATAGTTACATAGTTAGTCTGGCTGAAAAAAAGACAAAAGTCCATACAGTTCAACCAATAAAAAAAGAAAAAAAGTTATAATCCTACACCCGCAGATGATCCAGAGGAAGCAAGAAAACTCAGCAAAGCATGATCAAATTTGCTCCTGCAGGGAAAAACATTCCTTCCTGATCCCCTGAGAGGCAATCGGATATTCCCTGGATCAACTTTACCTAGAAATGTTAGTATCCAGTTATATTCTGTGTATCTAAGAAAGAATCCTGGCCTTTTTTAAAGCAATCCACGGAGCTGTTCAGAACCAACTCTTGAGGGAGTCTATTCCACATTTTCACAGCTCTATGAAGAAACCTTTCTGTGTTTGGAGATTACATTTTTTTTCCTCCAGACGTAAAGAGTGCCCCCTTGTCCTCTGTGAAGACCTCAGGGTGAATAACTCTACACTGAGTTCACTATATGAACCACTGATGTATTTTTACATTTTGATCATATCCCCCTTAATCTCCTCTTCTCAAGAGAGAATAAATTCAGTTCCTCTAATCTTTCCTCATAGCTGAGCTCCTCCATGCCTCTTATCACTTTGGTTGCCCTTTCTCCAGTTCCCAATTGTTCAGGACCCTGCTACACTGCACCATCCTGCCCCCACACAGCCCACACTCCTCTCTGTCCCCTGTCCTCCATCCTGGTGCAGTGTAGCAGGGTCCTACTGAGGAAAGAGGTACTTCATCTTGGATGGATTTGTGACTGGTGGTAGGAAGTGGGCAGATACGTTCCAAGGAGTCATTTCTATACAATGTTGGCTTACTTTTTACTTCTGGTGAGTGCATAATGGTGGAGGAGTATCACAGATGTCACATATGTATAAATACATATGTGGTCCATATAGTGAACTAGAGTTATTCACCGTAAGGTCATCACAGAGGACTCTTCACGTCTGGAGGAAAGGAGATTCTTTTCTAAATACACATAATATAACTGGATACTAACATTTATAGATATATAGTTCATATAGTCAACTAGAGTTATTCACTGTAAGGTCATCACAGAGGACTCTTCACGTCTGGAGGAAAGGAGATTCTTTTCTAAATACACATAATATAACTGGATACTAACATTTATAGATAAAGTTGATCCAGGTAATATCTGATTGCCTATTGTGGGATCAGGAAGGAATTTTTCCACTGCTGGGGCAAATTGGATCATGCTTTGCTGTTTTTTTTGTCTTCGTCTGGATCAACTGTGAGTATAGGATTGTGTACATGGGAATGCATAATTTTTTTTCCTTCTTATTGGTTGTACTAGATGGACTCGTGGCTTTTGTCAACCAGACTAACTATGTAACTATATTTAAGTGTCATACGACGTCCCCAAAAAAACAACAACAACAATTGCCACCATTACCAGTTCCTTCCACCTTTCTTGATCTATTCTGGTGTTCTGGCTGTTTTTCACAGCTTCCTTAGCTGAATCATTTATAAAGTTTGCTGTAGGGTGAATGCTGCATTGTATCTCAAATTTTGTAGCATATTCTGGTGCTCCACAACTGTAAAGATGCCTCAAAATGTGTTTGAAGATTGAACTCTGCTGCAACTCTTCTAATGTTTGCTGCAGGGTACATTCTGTTTTGCACCTCGGAGTTTATTTAAAAATAAAACTTGGCTCATTTCTGCCTCTACAGTATATTGTGGCCTTACTTAGCTGCTTACATACTGTCTATATACTGTGCATTATTTGTGGCTATTGTCTCTCAGGTGCTTGTGTACTGTCCTAATGGTGGACAATTTCTACCAAACATATACCTGAAGTCTATATTTTAACTATTTTGGGAATTATTGGGGCTAGGTGGGAGGTAGATGGTCCAGGGAATGTAGGGTTGTGGTTTTAGAGTGTTTTTGTGTTTCTGCACTCTGCTTTGACATTTTATTGACTTTTAAGACAATGCAGAGTGGTACTGCAAAAAAGAAACTTACAAACTATACTATTAAATTGTTGTTGAACTAGCCAATTAGGGTTTTAGCTTTTTTGTTTTCAAGAGGAAACCTTTGTATAGCTTTTGGATCTGTTGTGACTGTTACTTTTACTGGTCAATTCAGGCTTATTACAGCTTGATAAAAAAAAATAGGTGTTGCAGCCAAACCAACTAAAAAGGCTGTGGCTAACACAAATACACTTTGTACTAGGCTCTGAGGTGTAATCACACATATTCCAATCACTAGCCACTTAGGTGAAAATATACATTTGCTGGAGACTGATCATGTAGGGGTTAAAACTCATACACTGGACATCAATCATTTAGGGATTAATGTACATTTGCTGAGGAATAATCACTGTGGGTTAATGCATATATGCTAGAGACTTGTCACTGAGGAATGAATGCACATCCACCTCTAATGTGAAAATGGGCTAGTGTGCTTTGTGCACTCGATGGGATACTGCAAAGTCAGGCCCGTGTACTGAGGGAAGGATTCAAGGGAAAGATAGATGTGACTACTAGGAATGGGATTTTAATGGTAGAATATGCTCTGTTCAGCTAAGTTAAAGTCTAAAGGTAAAATCCCATAGTAATGAAGCTAAAGCACTACTTAGGGCTCATCACACTTGGGCAGAAACCCAGTATTTTTCTTCCCTAGAAGAACATTGGTCTCTACAAGGGTACACAGAAAATTATTGTTTTCTATGTGCCCTGTTCATACTAGACTGCTGGTGGCAGGTGAGGAGCATTGCTGTTTGGAAATCTGTAGCATGTCTGCATTTTTCCACTGTGCACTGAAGCTGAGCAAAGCTACAGTTGCAAGAAAAAGTATGTGAACCCCTTGGGATTACGTGGAGTTTTGCATGAATTGGGCATAAAATGTGCTCTGAACGTCATCTAAGTCACAACAATAGAAAAACACAGTCTGCTGAACATAATACTACACAAACATTAGATGTTGCCATGGTTTAATTGCACATAACATGTAAACATTCACAGTGCAGGGAGGAAAAAGTATGTGAACCTTTGGACTTAATAACTGGTTGACCCTCCTTTGGCAGCAATGACCTCAACCAAACGTTTCCTGTAGTTGCAGATCAGACCTGCACAACGATCTGGAGTAATTTTGGACCACTCCTCTTCACAAAACTGTTTCAGTGTAGCAATATTCTTGGGATGTCTGGTGTGAATCGCTCTCTTAAGGTCATGCCACAGCATTTCAATCGGGTTGAGATCAGGACTCTGACTGGGCCACTCCAGAAGGCGTATTCTGTGCTGTTGCAGCCATTGTTTTGTTGAATTACTTGTATGCTTTGGGTCATTGTCCTGTTGCATCACCCATCCTCTGTGGAGCTTCATTTGGCGGACAGATGGTCGTACATTTTCCTGCAAAATGTCTTGATAAACTCTGGAATTCATTTTCCCATCAATGACAACAATCTGTCCAAGCCCTGAGACAGCAAAGCAGCCCCAAACCATGATGCTCCCTCCGCCATGTTTTACAGTGGGGATGAGGTTTTGATGTTAGTGTGCTGTGCCTTTTCTTCACCACACATAGTGTTGTGTGTTCTTCCCAAACAACTCAATCTTGGTTTCATCTGTCCACAGTATATTTTGCCAGTAGTGCTGTGGAACATCCAGGTGCTCTTTTGCAAACTTCAAACGTGCTGCAATAGTCTTTTTGGACAGAAATGGCTTCCTCCGTGGTGTCCTCCCATGTACTCCATTCTTGTTTGCATGTGCCAGAGATTTCTGTAGGTCTTTAGCTGACACTCTGGGATTCTTCTTTACCTCATGCAGCATTCTGTGCTGTGCTCTTGCAGTCATTTTTACAGGACGACCACGCCTAGGGAGAGTAGCAACAGTGATAAACTTTCTCCATTTGTAGACAGTCTGTCTTACCGTGGACAAATGAACATCAAGGCTTTTGGAGATACTTTTTTAACCCTTTCCAGCTTCATGCAAGTCAAAAATTCTTGATCGTAGGTCTTCTGAGAGCTCTTTTCTGCAAGGCATGGTTCACATCAGACAGTGCTTCTTGAAACCAGTAAACCCAAAGCAGGTGTGTGTTTTTTAAGGGCAGGACAGCTGTCAGCAACACATCCAATATCATCACACTGATTGGAGTCAAGGTTGGCTCACTCCTGGCTCCAATTAGCTCTGGGAGAAGTCATTAAGCTAGGGCCTCACACACTTTTTCCTCCCTGCACTGTGAATGTTTACATGTTATGTGCAATTAAACCATGGCAACATCTAATGTTTGTGTAGTATTATGTTCAGCAGACTGTGTTCTTCTATTGTTGTGAATTAGATGACGTTCAGAGCACATTTTATGCCCAATTCATGCAAAACTCCACGTAATCCCAAGGGGTTCACATACTTTTTCTTGCAATGGTATATAGAAATGTATGTCAATTTTGACATTTCAATAAAGTTAAGAAAAAGGCTAATTTTCTCGTGTGGGTAGTGTGAATGAGTTTAACTGGTTTAATACTATAATATAGGATAATGAATAGAATTTAAAATAACTTTAGTTTTACGTTTTACACAAATAAAATGTTTTAGCAGTAAACATCATATTTTATACAAGTTTAAGAACATACTTCTTCAGTTTTCTCCTCTTCTGTATAAGTAGGTCCTCGTTATACTGGA